AATCTTTTATTGTGCAATTTAATTGTTTGCTAAGATAGGGGCAGGAGTTAAAAGAGATGAATGTGTCTGGTTTATATAACAGCATGAAGAGAGACACTCACATCAGTCAACCTGAGGCCTTCGGCTTGCCTACGGGAACCGCATGGGACACACACAAACACACACAAATTGAGCCACAGATGCCTCACACATGCTACCCACACACGCGTTGTAGACATAAGCATACACATACACAGGCTCCTTCGCCCTTTAAGCTATAGAGTCCACGTAATGACAGCTCCCGGCGCTCCCTCTCCATCACAAACCCCACGGGACACACATGCACACGCTCACACCCACACACCTCTAATAGCAGCCCTGCGCAGACACAAACCCCAGGGGTTTGTCATTTAAGTCCTGGACCAGCAGAAACCAGCCACATGTCACAATGACGGGCTGAAAATGTTACACACACAAGTCTGGCCACAATACCAACGCTACTCTCCATCACGACACAAAGAAAAACATACGTGTATGCAAAAAAAGTTAAAGTTAAAAACTTAAAATCACATACATTCTTAGAGGACTAGTAGCCCTATGGCCTGTTGATCTTTATCTTATTACATAACACAGTGCTTGTCTTCTACCAGAGGGCACTCCTCACCTTCAGAAGAGTCCCCTAACCATGCATTGTCCTGCAGCCATAACATAAACACACATCGTAACCCACCCTGAAGCCACAGATAACTGCATACATACAGTGATGTAATCACTGTAAATGCCATACACATATCGACAATTATCAGACCAGAATCTTGAGGCTGATCTTACATACTCCTCTGTGCATGGAGCCCTTGCCTGTGTGTAAGCACAGGGAAAGAGCACTTTGGGCACTTGTCCTATATGATTCTATTTTGTGCCTGACCTTTGACCTTATCTGACAGGCAGAAGAATAGACTGACAAGGAGCATCAACAGTGGGACTGAAAATGCAAACAACTTCAATACTGCTCTTCAATAGATCCCTATGTTAGATACTAATGGCTACTAGTAGAAAGTGATCTATTTTGTTGACTGTTACAACACCCAAATTAGTTTGACATGACAGACTTCATGGAGAAATGAGTATCCTGGCATGTGTTTTCCACAATTAATCCAACCTCTCTTTGGCAGTCTAGAGCACCACTCCTCTCAGAGTAAGCTCCTGCCCCTGAATCGACAGACTTACGCAGAACTCCTGATAATATTTGCCCTTAGATTAAGGTCAGCAGCTTTGGATTGGAGCTTGTGTTTGGGTTTGTGTGTGATGGCCTCCCACACAGTGTTTGATTACAGTTTTACAGTGATTACAGTCTACCTGACACTTGGCAAAAGCTACTTATCTGTTGTGGTTGTTAGATAGATGAGTTTCTGAGAGGTGCTACTATGGATAATGTGATTTCTGGGGAACATCAGACTAAATATTGCAGTGCACTCGCCTTCAACGACACTAACCAGATATTACTGTATTTCACTCCACCGAATACATTTACATGCCATCTTTCTCCATTAGTGCAAAACCAGTTAAGAAGAGGAGAGCTCAAGTGGAGGGGGAACAGGGAGGAAAGGAAAAGGGAAATGGGCTGGGAGAAAAAAAAGGACAGGATTTTATTTCACAACCACACCTACCTCCGACCGACACTACCTTTCCGTTTCCCACCCTTTCCTGAGCACCACTAGGCATACACACACACACACACACACAAGTCATGCCCCCTGGTTCACTCACTCCCAAAATTGCACCAGATGTCACATCAAGAGTCTTCGGCCGCAGCACTGCAGCCATATGAAGAATTTGAGAAATTCTGGAAAATATTTGTGGAGCGGCTCAGGATTGAAGTGGCTGAGGCCTGGAGAGGTAGAGGTTAAACCTCTCCAGCTTTAATGAGGGCTGTGTGACTGACTGCTGTAATGCTATAGCAGCTAATGGGGAGGTGGGAGTTGGGCAGAGCCATATAGGGTTAATGCTCCAGGGCCAGTTATAAAGCTGATGCACCAGGGCCAAAAGGTTACACTCCCCTCCACTGCTAACAGCAATCTCTATGTCTGTTGCTCGTGATGTCACCATAAACCGGACTATACTGTGTATAACAGATGAGAAGAGATCGTATGAAATCTGAGAAGCTGATGGGAAAAAGGCTTTCAGTCAACTTAGATCAGCATTTGAGGTGTTAGGCAAGCTTGAGCCTGATATACACAAGTGGTTTGTCACTATAGCAACAATAAGACAGACCTTGTGAAGCTTTTAAATCAACTTACAGGACTGAAAGTCAGTGGAGCCAGTCCTGGACAATCCATGTTTAAATTCTGCAAAAAGACCCTAGCAGCTAAAACTTTGAATGGCTTCCAAACCCAGACAGACAGTAACGTATGCACCCAAGCAAACATACAATGCATAGTCTCTTTTGCATTGTGTAAACCTAATCTGGGTTTAGGTGGGGCTACTTTTAGAGGTATGGTTTCCTGGTAGCTCAAGTCTCTTTACAAAGTGTTTTCAGAATAAACATCCTCTTTAAACTGGATGATAGTGGGCTATCGGACAGTGTATAGCCACATTCATGAGCTCATGTGAGACAGGGAAAAACAGAAGAATGAAATTCCGCAGTCTGCGGTGGAGTTTGTGTATTTATAGTGAGCGTACGGTGTTTATGTGTGTGTGTGCTGCTTATAGCGTAGCTAAATCAACTCTGCTGCTCAGTAAGAGTGGAACCCAAGCCAAAGTGAAATCAGCAGTTGATTCTTGTTGCTTAGCTGCCAAAATCGTACACTGTAACTCTGGCCTCAGCAGTTGTGTGTGTGTGTGTGTGTATTAGTTTTTTTCATTACCCATTCTGGTCCTGCTGTGTTTATGCATCATTAAGCTTGATTAGCAGAAGCAACATAATGAGGGAACCTTTTTTTTCAGTTTGTACACATGTGTTGGCATGTGTGATTATAGATGACCTCAGATGGCCTTTACGCAAACAGAATCATTAGCTGTGTGTGAGGGTTTTCCTGCCAGACAGACTGACAACTTATAGAACGGTGTGTGTGTAACACCAGCTGGCAGATAGGAGCTAATTAAAGGTAATGACATATTTATGCATTAACTAGCTGTGTAGTGTACACTACCTTTTTCTGATACGCACGCAGAGCTAAGTCCATTCATGATCAGGCATTCTTCTGTGCCCTCTACACACCCACATTCCTTGTTCCTCATTCAGGACCCCCCTTCTCCTGGTCTTTCTTCTTCTCTCTTTTAACCCCCCCCAAACTACTAAAGTGGGCCAACCAATCATCACCCAGCAGCCAGATTGTGTTTAGCATGACAAAGGAGAATCTGTGTGACCATCTGTGTGTGTGTGTGTGTGCTTACATGCATGCATGTGTGTGTGTGTGCGTGCCTGCGGGTGTGTGCATGCGTTCTCCTTACATGACTGCAGAGCTTTTACCAGCGAACGAAGGAAGTTGGTTTATGCAGGAAATTCACTCCATATGTGTTCAAAGCTCATCTACATTTATGTGGGTGCAGATAAAACAGTGTATCTCTCGTCTGAGGTTCTTTAATAATCAAACCAATATAAACCCACTGGAAAACTTTGTGTCTGTCAAGCAGATCTGCTTCTACTACACAGCACTTAAGAAAATGTGGAGTTAATCTGCACCATTTGTAACATCCTGGGTAATAAAATACCGTTCCTGTGAGGCGATGTCACATATTTTGTTACTACTGTTGATGCTTCAGTTTCTCCATATAAAGCTATTGGTGTGGCTCCCACCTGCTCCTCTAATGCCTGGTCAGCCACGCGTTCCGCTTCTCCATCTCCCTCTGTTAGACTGGAGAGGCATTCCCCTGCCACAACACATGCTTAAGCAATTATTCCACACAGTCCTCTGGACAGAGAGGGAGAAAGAGGGCTAGATAGAAGGCTGGAGGGACAGAGAAAGCAATTTCAAGTGGAGTGATCAGGGGCGGCTGGCCAGGGATTTGCAGGGTTCTGGGAGAGAATGTGTAGACGTTTAGCGCAACTCCCATAATCCTTTTCTAAAAAAGAGGGAAAGGAGAGACAGAGGGAGTGAAAACAGAGCTAAGAGAAATGGGGGCCACTGGAGCTTGAAACTAAAAGGACTGGGCCACAGTGAAAAACAAACTATCAAAGCAACACACAAACAGTGGGCACAGAATCTGGACGGGACACTAGCGGAATAACAAGTTAGGACTAACACACAAACTCTACAGCACAAACAAGTTGGACAGTGACATCGCCTCTGCTTCGGTGACAGTTTCATCAATACCTTAATAATTACACTACGATTTTTACTTCAGCCGTGTTACATCTCTACCTATGGACAGCTGGAGCTGGAATGGCACCTCTGGAGGTTAGATGGTTAGATGAACAAGGTTTTGAGCGCACAGGAGGGGTGTCACTGGCTATTTAAAGGGCAGGTTGCAACACTTCAAAACATTTATGCCCCAGGCAAGTTGGCAGGAGCATCAAATGCTAGGTCCCAATGATTCTCTGTGGACTTTGAAATGATCAATATATTCTGTGATGACAACATTTATTTATTAATGTAAATCTAGCAATGTACTGGGATATATTTATAAATGGGCTAATACACATATCATGTAGTGGGTTGTTGCATTGTGAGATTGTATGCTCTCCAGTGTATTTTCCTAACATTGTGAAAGTCTGAAAAAGTGAGTGTGGTCAGTGTTTAGTTCTCTGGCATGGTGCTGCGTTGGAACTGGATGATAAGGGGATGTTGCAGATTAAGTTGCCTTCGTGTCACAGATAACAGGCCATACTTTTAAAACGATAAGGCCTTTAGTGCCAACAATTAAAATATTGTTTATGCTTTTTTTGTGTGTGAATCCAGAGTTTCTGAAGTGGCTGCCTCTTAGTCTAAATCAGCTGATGTGAGCCCAAAAGAAACACTAAACAATTAAATTTATAGCCTAACAGATACGGATATTTCGCCTAAACGTATTCATAAACTTACCAAGTAGAAGACAGAAGATGTCGAGCGCTATTAGCAGTTTCTTCTTACTGTTGTCAACACCATTGTTGTTGTTTAACGTAGAGGTTCCTCCGTTCCTTGTCTCTTGGGCCATCGCTTTCTCATACATGTACTTTTGCATTTGAGAACTCCCCGTTTCAGGTCAAAAATCCCACACCACGCGTAAGGTGAAGAAACTGGCTTTCAAGTCCTTCAAAGATTTGTCATGCACTTCAACGGGAAACAAACTTCGCACCTCGGAGGTCTCGTGAAGTTTCAGATGTGTTGATGTCTCGTATTTCACTTTTACAAGAAAATAAGTAAAAGAATATATCTATATGAGTAGAAATGATCTGGTCCCGGACCTGCGCCGCGGACTCAAGAAAGAAAAGTTGTCTGCGCACGAAATGAATGGAAAGCCCGCTCCCCTTTTATCGCCCTTGGTTCAAAGACTTGGAGTGAGTGAGAATTGCGCTGCGCATCGACAGCCGCTCTTGTTATATCAATCCTTCTTCTTCTCCTCCTCCCCCTGCGCTCTTCAAGTTCCCCCAGCAGCTTCAAGGCTCAGCCCTCTTCCCTCTGCTAGCGGTGGGTAATCACCTCCATCCCTGCATGGAAAACTTTCTTGGTCTGGAGACCAGGAGCGGGACAGGAGAGTAGCGCCCCCAGCGGTTAAGCAAAGCACGACAGACGCACCAGAGCGATGGTGGCTCGCAGTTTCAAGTTATTGGAAATGAAGGTATTTGCTCCTTCTTTTCATTCCGAGAATAATTAAAGCAATTAGTCATTATTTTAAATGCTGTAAATGTAGTTTCGTCAGGTCTTGTTGAAAGATGTATGTTGACAGATGAGAGTGAAAAAACGAGGCCATACACTTTGTAAGTATTTAAATGTTTTATTTCTCATTACATCCTAAACAAGACGTTGATATAATTTGTGTATTTTATTAATAGGATACTGAAACTTTATATATATTGTGCCAGTACCCATACAAAAAACATGTAGGTAGAGGTTTATAATTCATCATTATTATTGACATTTTTCTGTGGAAATGTGTAAAGGGGATTTGCTGAACAGAAAAAAAGGATGTAGACAAACATTTAATCTATTTAATCTAAATTTTGAATTTCAAAAATACACATTTAAAAGTGTAAATTCTAATTTGATTGCTCTAGTCGGTGAAGCCAAGCATACACACTCTGAGGAAACGAGTATTAAAAGGCATATGATTTAGTGCTTCTTTTCTAACTTTGAAAGAGGTAAAGCGCCAGTTCCACAAATGCTTGCAGAGAGTGCACAACGTAGGAGCCGTTCCAACAGTCATATTGGATGTGTAGAAATTAATCTTACACTGCCATCTAGTGGTACAAGTAATAGTAGCCTAGTTGCACGAACAACTGTAACTCATTCATCACTTCATTTAAATTCTGTTCGTTTGTTTCTTGTGGGACTGATACTTTAGAGACAATGGCCAACAAAATAACCTAAATATTACACTGTGTGTGATATGACCTCAGGGAGGACGCTATCAATATAGGATGAACAGTTAGTGCTCCGATGGCCTCGACTAGGTAGGCTACTTTGCATAACCAAAACAAAGTAACACAACAGAAACTGAATCATTCATTGGTCTTCCATTCATCCCGCATTTAGCAAATGTGAGTGATGTCTTTCAGAACTACCATTTTTATACCCCAAATATCAGCATGTGTTGCTCACAGCATGATAGGCTACTCCTTTCTTTTTTCTTTATATAAATGTCTTACTGAGGGCGAATCATATGCTTACTTAACACACAGCAGCTAATCTGATTTACACCAAAGGTACGAGTCTTTAAAGGCCTGTGTAAACAGTGGCGGGCTAATAATAGCCAATCCCACAATCTCAACCATATCTCTAGTAGGAATATGCTCATTTTACACCAAGTTATCTAGTAGGCTTATAGTAGGTACAGTATTAATCAGGGCAGGTAATTGACAAACAAGTGCAAAATTGGACACAACGCTGGGTCGGTGGGAGATGGCAGAGGCCGCTGGGCTCCTGGGAGGGATAATCCCGGTAATGCCGTACAGGCAATTGCGACAGATGTCAGCTTGCCTCCAGGAAAGCAATTACGTTTATCTGCAACAGATTTCACCGTGAACCTGACAGTGTGCGTTTATCGGGCTCCGTTGCTCTCCTCTTCCTCGCAGTGAGAGAGAAGTGAAGGGCCCCGCCCATCCGCGCGCCCCACCGGCTACCAGGCAGCACACCCACCACACCAAGCGATCCCAGCCGTCGGTCACGGAGAAGATGGCAGAGCGGCAACAACAGAAACACGAAGGCAGGGTAAAAATCGGCCATTACATCCTCGGCGACACGCTCGGAGTGGGGACATTCGGGAAAGTGAAGAGTTAAGTCATGTTTTTGTGTCATGCCGACATTATTGTGTACGTTTGCACGTTTCAGCTGGAGTAACGTGAAGTAACGTTTGACGCCGTTCCTCTCCCTCAACGGACAGTGTTGAACTTAGCGGTGAGCAGTTTGCGTAGCTGGGTGGTGTAACGGCTGCGACAGAAAGGATTTAAAGCGTAAAGGCTGTCTGAGAATCTGTTCGCTTGAAAGTCAAATTCTTTCATCGAAGTCCCCTGTGTGTCGCTAACGTTACTGTCTTCAGCTATGACAGGTGTAATTACCGGTGGGACAACAGCTACAAGGAGATGCACACTCGAGCTCACATTATTATCGTGTAACGTTAAACAAGGTTACGTTAATGTCGTGGTAGGCTTCTTTGCCCCGTCTTGCGATAAAGGACGTCTGTGTGAAGCTTAACGGTAACGTTACAGCTTGCTCGATAGCGTGAGCGTAACTACTGTTCCCTGACAACATGTTTACAAACAGCGTAGTTAACGTTAGTCCAGTATGTTAACATGGCAAGCATGCTAAGTGATTACTAAGTCGGGAAAATCATTTATAGGCGCAAAGTTTCACTGAAGAGGCCTATCACGGGATGTTATTTCAGTATTCCTACTAGCTGGTTTTCGAGCACTCTGCATGACCTTGTGAGCTTTTACTCCGCGCTCACCCCGTCTGTTTCTTGAGTGCGCAGTTTATGGGATGTGTTAGCTTAGCAGGTGGTAAACCCCCCTGAAGTCATGGCTAGCTGCATATTTCAATTCTGTATGAGGGAAATCTTTGTATGCATCATAGCAAGCAGTAGAATCCATGCAGTCTGAAATCATTGCGTTTTAATACAGAATTAAATCAAATGTTGCTATTGATAATGGTTTGCTAATAATGGTTGTTTGTGTTCGGGGGAATGCCTATGTGGGAGTTAAAGCACTTCATCCACCATTTGTCATAAGTGATGTTTGTAGTCAAGCTGTGAGTAGGGGTTGGCAGCTACAGTAACAACATGGCTTCAGAGCCTCATGCAGGCAGATAGCTGAACACCCTAAACCTGAACAAAGACAATGCCTCAAGTAAGGGCTACAGTAAGCCAAAAACTTTATTAAAATATATATATACACAAAATGATCATAATTTACTGTTATGTTAAAGCTTGCTATACAACAGATATCCAAATCAAACCTTAACCCATTGGTACCTCTACCTCACTGTGGGCATCCATATATCTTGTGCCTAACCGTCTGTGTATGATCCCCTGTGAGGTTTAACCATCTGTGTGCTGTATCAGGCTATCTGCTTCATATCTGTATTATTTTGTTTTCAGTTGGCGAGCATCAGTTGACAGGCCATAAAGTGGCTGTGAAGATCCTAAACAGACAGAAGATCCGCAGTCTCGATGTCGTTGGGAAGATCAAGCGCGAGATCCAGAATCTCAAACTATTCAGACACCCACACATTATCAAGCTGTAAGTGGAGAAAGACGACGCATCCTGTATCAGATTCTCTGTGACTCTCTGTGCAGACAGACGACCTAGAGAGATTATGTAGTTGTTGTAATGTTGTCCTTTTGCTATGCTGTATTCCGGCATGCTTTGCTTGTTCCTGTTTGTTTACTTCAGCTGTCCTGTACAGACCATGCCCACAGTACCATGCCAGGAAGTAGAACACACAAACATACCAATACACACACACACACACACACACACACACACACACACAGGCCTGGAACTAGATAAAGAAATCTGTTCTGGTCAGTACAAATCTTCAATTAAGATGATATGAAGTTGCTGTATTTTGTCTTGGCTACTGTCTTTTGCTTTCCTTCTGTCTCCCCAGCCCTTTCGTCCTTGTTAGTCCATGTCTCTCTGTCTCTCGCAACAATCTCTGTATTATTTTTAGGCCAGGTTTGGGGTTAGTCCACTGTCACACTGTAAGCTATGGTAGATATGTGAGCTCTCAGGTCCTGAGCTGGAGCACTGTGAAACACTCTGTCACAGACATATTCACCCACACACACAATTATATTTTATTTATTACAGACAGCTTCAAGTGTGGACGCTGAACTCAGCAAAGCAGACTCTGTGTGACATATTGGATCTGTTTGTAACACCAACACAATATGAAACAAATTGAATATATGAAAAAAATAGGTATTAAAATGTCCCGGGGAAAAAATTGAAAAATAATGACATTGTGATTTGGTTTGTGTTTATTTCTCGTATGGTGCCGGCATTTTGTGCTACACCCGGTTCAACAGAAATTAAGTAGATTGTGATGAAGTGCAGTATCTCCAGGAACCAACCATTCATGAGATTGGGGCTGCTTATATTTAATTTAATATACCTGACCTTTATAAAAATAATGCCTACACTCAGCAGCCATTCATCACAGCTTAGCCTCACAATTCTTTGTATTAGCTAACTTCATGTCAATACAAATGTATGTTTTTGTTTTAGGTACCAGGTGATAAGTACACCCACAGATTTCTTCATGGTCATGGAGTATGTGTCTGGAGGTGAGCTGTTTGACTACATCTGCAAACATGGACGGGTAAGACATTTCGTCTGCCATTAATTGTCTGGTAGATTTGAGTACACACCCACTGGGTTCCAGTGGTCTGTGCATCATCAGAAATTGTTAGTTCACTAGTAACCACTGCTCAAATTGGATTAACAGTAATGCCGTTGCGAAGCAGTGGCTGAGGAAGCGTGTAGTCTGGATTACAACTTTCTATTAAACACAAATTAATGGATT